GGGGGGAACAGCATAAAAACATAGCTGCATTGAGCTAACCACACAGCAGCCTTTCTGTCCAAGTTATTATTCTTATTCAGCCCTTTTGTTATGATAATTTCTTTTCCAAGTGGAATTAAGGCACAGGAAAAAGGCTGTAAACATTTTGTACCAGGTTCTCATTTTTGAGCCTGCCATGAGCAATCTGCAACCTGAGTGTAACCTTCCTGGGAAGAGGGGAGGGGTGATCCAGCCATCCATCCTCCCTTCCAGCTATCCAGCAGTTCCTCTAGAAATAGAAAGTTGAGGAAATTTGTCACATGAATGGGAGTTTCAAGGAGAATGTACATCTCTAATTTTCTGGGCTGGGACTGTTTTTAGACAGAGCATGGAAACAGAGAGGGCACTGGACAAATACACCTGGGCACCAAGGTAAGGCTGTGTTTATATCCACTACCTTCAAAACCCCAAACCACCCAGCCCAGCCCCTCCACCCTAAGCAGCTTTCCCAGCATTCCAGACAAGCATGGAAGTTCACTACTGGTCAGACCAAGAAAACTGTCTAGCATTTTGAGCAGAGCTCCCAGTGCAGTTTCATCCTAGCAAATGGCTTATTGTGAAACAGTTCTGTTCATGGAAAAAGCAAAGAAATCTCCCATAGTCCCAGCTCATTGCAATACCCTGAAGCACAGCGTGCTGCTGCAAAAGCTGGGAGTGCTGCACAGCTTTCCCCCCCATCACCCCCAGCCAGACCAGGCTATTTAATAGTAATTGATCAGGTACAGAATTTGGAAAAAAAAAAAGTGGTAACATTAGCTAAAAGCAGAGCAGCAAAACTGTTTGATATTTCTGTTTCTCAGCACTATTTTGGAACTTACTACCAAAGCATTTAAAACTTTAAAAGTCCCGTTTTACACCATTGTGCTTTTCAAAACACGTTTGGTTGTTGGTTTGTTGTTGCTGTTGTTGTGTTTGTGGTTTTTTTTACCCCCTTTTCTTTTTTTCCTCTCCTTGAAAGCCTCACCAATTCTGCTGATTCCAGGGAGCTTCACACCACCAGGCTCTGCCATTTGCAGCAGGTGACATAAGGCTGCAATTCACCTCCCAATGCTGTGTTTTAAGAATAACCTGAAATCCTACAACCCTGAAATGAGGTATTTCCTTGCAAGTAAAGTTGAATGTAGAGCAGTTAAAAAATGTTGCATATTATGACAGGTGAACCCGCTTGAAAGAACAGAGGGCAGGAAGGATTCCTGTCCTGATGGGCACTTCTGTGCAGCAGCAACAGGCCAGGAAAACATTAAATGCAGATAATTTGGCTTTGAGGCAACATTCTACTGGAAGTATGAATAACTGACACTTTGTTAACTAAGTGATACTGATATTGTAAATTTTACTGGGAAAAAAAAAAACCCAACTAGTTGATTTATTGTTTGTTAAAAAAGGTGACCCTTGACATCCATCATCCCATTAGTGATCCAAGGGAATTTCTCAGTACCAACACCTCTCCTGAAAACAAAATGTGCTGGCAGGAAAAAAACCCAACCCACTCCATTCAACATGTTTTTTTCCCCATTGTTACAGCTCAAATGCCTGCCTCTCTTCAAGCAGACCACAGAATTCCTGCCACCAGCACCCCAGTTCACCTCAGGTGCAAAACCGAAGCCACCACCTGCAGGGTGCATAGTCAGTCTGCTCCACTGCTAATTACTGCCACACTGCTAATTGCTACCACACTTGCAACAGCCTGTGAGCTGTGGTAAATCTGTGACACCACTCCAGCAACACCAAGCCCTGCACTGCTCAGGTCTTGCCACCAACTGCTTTGAAAAAGGCACCATTTCTCAGCGTGGCCAGGAAGACATGGAAACCCCCCACACACCTGCCTGCCCAGCACCCCCCAAGGCAGCACCCACAGGGCCTGGAGCCAACACCTTGGAGCAAGATCAGGAGGACACTGAGGACCAAGGAAAAACCTTGCCCCTCAAAGCAGGTTTGCAGAAGATTTGGAGAAGCTCAGCAGTGAGACTGGAGCCAGGCTGGTGCAGCCCAGGACACAGGGGAGGGTTTTGCTTTAGCAGAATGAAGAAAAATGGAGAGTACATCCCAGAGAAGGAGGTTTTAGAGTCCTCTGCTCTTTCCACCTTTCAAAGCAAAGGTTGAAAGTGAGCACTAAGGCTGCCTGTAAATAAGGCAGAAGAAGAGTAAAAACCAAGGAGAGGAACCAGATCTTTAAGTTAAAGGTCAGTGCTGGTACAAAGACTTCCATTGTCCTAACTATATTGGTGTGGCAATGCTGAAAGGAAAAGATTTCTAACCCTTGATATTTTAACCCATTGATATCCTGGAACAACCTTCCACTGGGTGAGGAGAAGCCCAGGCTTTGTCAGATGGTGCCTGCTCAGCTGCCCCAAGAGGAAAGGTGATGCAGAACCAGGCCCCCTGACCCAAGGAGGTCCCACCTGCAACACCCCAGCTTGTTCTGCCCTTCTGCCTATCTCAGCATTCCTCCCAGCTAAAAAAATATCCTTAAGAATGAGTACAAATGGGGAGGGGAGGAAGAGGAAAGCAGTTCTCCCTCTTCTTAATCTGCAAGTCATTCTGATGCCTGATCACAAACAGCTTCGTGTGGGTTGTGATGGGCCCACCAGTGAAACTTCCACAGGTATTTACTTCTCCTTTCACAACACGAATGTATTTACTAAATGCAAACCAATGGTTATGGCTTCAGGAAGAGATAAAAAGAATCTTAATCCTTTTTTTTATTTTAATAGAGAACAACAAAGCAATTTTTTGCTAGTGTTTCTGCTAACAGTGCTCAAGAAACAGGAGGAGCTGAAGGTAGAGGATGGCATGTGTCAAACGTGTCAAACATTTTTCTTGAAGGAGCAGGTAGAAGAGCAGGTGACAAGGTCCAAGAGGAGAGCAAGAGGAAGGGAGGAAGGGTGGCCAAGGGCTCCAGCACTAGGGAATGCCCCCCCAGCTCTGGCATTCTGGCAGAGCCCTGATCTTCACAGGTACTGCCCAGATACACCTCCTAACTCATGCTGCATTTAAACATACCATGGCAATTGAAATATTTTGATAAACATTTTGAAAGGCTTTAAGTTTTGTACAAAAGTAAATTAAAAATCTGAGCTTTCTTACAGCTCCAAAATGTTTCCATCCCCACAACCCTGATGTTATTCCACATCTTCTGGGCAGCCTGAAATCTGCAGCTGTGAGACATAACTTAAAAGATTAGGTTTGGAACAAGGAATCTGTATCCAATAGATGGCGTTGCCCCCTAATAATCATGTATATGGCACTCACCACATTTTCCATCTCATGAATAATAATAAAATCTGCAAAGGGCCCTGCCCTAATTATGCTCCAAGTCCCTTCAGTCACCCCCATCTCCACCTCCCAGGACCAGTGGGGAAGCTTCTGAAGGAAGAAAGAAATCCAAGCATTGGGAATATTCACCAAGACATCAAATTCAAGGAGTGAACCATTCAGACAAGGTACTGGGAGAAATCTGGAGTTGGCTGCAGGAGCCCTGGGAACAGGCTGCCAGCTGAGCTGGGAAAGGGCTGGCACACCCCAGCATGGCCAGTGCCTTCCCAGCAGCTGGAACAGCCTTTTGAAAAGGCCTAAATGGGGCTGCTCAGAGAAGGATGGGTCCTGTCACCTCTCCTGGTGCTCTGCACAGCTGGACAGAGGTGCCCAGCTGTGCTCCTCCCCTCCCCAGCAGCAGCAGGAAGGAGCTGTCAGCCTGTGATGCCAAGACTCTCAGGCTTCCCCCACTGCTCTGAACTTCGCCCTTCCCATTTTCAGTGCAGTGATGGGCACTGGGAGGGCTGGAGGTCAGAGATGGGCAGCTGCTGCATCCTGCTGGATGCTGAGCCACCAGGAAATGTCCCGTGCCATTGCTGCAGAGGCAGGGAAAGGTGTTGGGGAAGAGGGGCAGGCAGAGCTCTGCTGCATGGCCAGGACTGCAGGGCAGCAAAGATGCTCAGTGACAGCAGATCCGGAAACACAGCCCCTCTTGGGGACCCACTTAGAGTGAAATTAATAAATCATGATCCAAATGACTCAAGCTAAAACAAGACAGTGCAGCCCCCATTTCCCATTTGCCTGCATTATACAGCTGTTTATAAATAAATCTGCCCATCTTGGCTTCCATAGGATGGCTGTCTAAACAAAAATCCCAGAACATGCAACGTTGTCAGCTACTAGGTTTGGCAAACAAGCCCCAGGACTGCAAAGCAGACAGGGAGGCAGCCACGTACACCCTGTGGCTCTGCCAGCAAAGCACTGAGTGACACTGCAGATCTAGTTGAAAGAAATCTGTCACCTGCTCCATCAGGCACCTTTTGCAAGGACTAAAGATAACAGCTTGTAGAAACAACAACAACAAAATGTATTTACACACAGACACACAAAAGAATAAGGCGTTTTCATAAACCAGATATTTTATCCAAGTACAAGGAGTAATAAAGAATATTAGCAATGAACCTTTCTGAAAAGATAAGGCAAGTACTTTGTCATTTAAACATTTGTAGTTCCAAGCACTCCTTCCAGCATTAGCCTGAAGTATATTCTCCTCCAGGTCACTGGTAGGAAAACACACATTAACACGAGCAAAGTGTGAGCACCTCAAACCTAAGTGTGATGGCACCTTGGAGGGAGGAGCTTTAGGAACAAAAACAACAACTCTCAGTGGATTTTCTCTGTGACTTGTATGGCAGAAGTGCACTGCTAGGAACACTAACTTTTAAAAAGGAGGTTTTTCCCTTCCTTCAGAGCAGAGATCTCTGACTCCAGGGCCTCCCTGTTACCCACCCGTGGCACACCCAGCTCCAGCCCACGAGGGCAGCCGGGCTCTGCGCACCTCGAGCCCCTCGTTACACTATTGATCCCCTCAGCATTACCCACGAGGCTCCAGCAGCTCAGCATGTCCACTGAAGCAGAGCTGGATGCTCTTCCCTCTCAGGAACTTGCCCACTGCGTTGGGGAGGGAGGCACAGTGCTGGACTTACCTGACACTTGCCAGTGCGGATGTCGTAGAGGGCAACGGCGCCGTGGCGAGCGCCCACCGCGATCCGGTGGCTGCGCTCGTAGTAGCTCACCATGTAGAACCTGCAGTGGGCACCAGGACAAGTGAGAGGTGAGGGCTGACCTGCCTGCACGGTGTTCCAGTTCACCTGCAACGCCACTGGGTAATTGATGTTAGTGCCAGCACGGAGATGGGATTTAAAAATCCCTCCGTTTTCACCCTTGGTGCTCAGCCAGCAAAGCGCTCGGCACGGGGCTGCAGAGCCAGGTCAGATTTGTTCCTGTTACCCAGTGTTGAGCACTGGGTAACAGCACTTCCAAGCAGCTTGAGCACTTCCAAGGAGCTTGGGAATCATCTCTGAGATAATCACCAGGTCCCTGAATGCCCAAGTGCAGATCTTGTTTACAGGGGACCACCACAACAGTGCTGGATGTCAAAGGGTTAAACAAGTCAATCTTAACACCCTGAACGACTGCACTTTTCCTTGAAAATCGAAGGAGAAAGGAGGGAAAGCACAGGGGGAAATTATGCAAACTCAGAAATTGTTGCTTGGCATTAGAGGGGAACAAAAGGAACAGGGAAGCAGGCAATACTTCTGCACGTTCAGGCATCAATTGGAATTCAAACAACTTAAAAAAACCCAATCAATGAACTTCTACATCTTGAAACACGAGGGAGTAAAAATCCTCATTTCAAATTCAAATATTTGGGAATATCATTGTGGCCTCTCCTCTAAATGGAAGAGCAGACCTGTGAAAAATGCCACAGAATCTTAGGGCATTCCCAATGAAATTTTAATTTTACAGTTGCAGAACTGTCTGAGGGGTTATAAAACCTTTTTTTTTCTGTTTTGTTTTTTTTTTAAATTAACATCCCAAGTTAAAGCCAGCATCAAAATGCTATGTTGAATATTCATTAAAAAGAAGTTGCTGATTAGCATCATTACATCTTAATTTCAAGGCAGGAGCCCGAGGTGTTCTGGATTATAATGTCTATATTCTTCAGCCCTATTATTTCACATTGTTTCCTTTTTATTTTCCCCTCTACAGAAGGAGGCTCCAGGCTGCCTTGAGCACCACCACAGCAGCACCTCCAGCTGATAGATGCTGGGTCTCCATGCTCTCCAAAGTCCTAGAAATAATCCAGGTGTGAAGTCTTGCCTTACAGCCTTGCTTTGGCTAACCCTTGAAATCCTCACTCCTCCTGCAGGACTACTCCCTAGTAAAAAAGCCATCTACAACACTTGTTATTTTACATTTAATCTGTCTTCCCCATCCACGGAGCACTTTAGCTCAGCAGACTGTGCTAAATACATGACCTGACCCAGCAGAGTCCATCAGGGACCACTCAGCTGCAAGGCAAATGCTGAATCTGGAAAACGCTCCACTCAGGCAGACTTTTGCAGCCATCAATATTCTCCCTCACCAGTGTCAAGAAATTCAGGAGTGTTTCATGTTCCTGGCCTTGTACTGCCACACTTATTTCCCCTTGGCAGGCAGTGGGTTGGCAGGGATCATGCCAAAAGGCAGCACCACCCTCAATAGAGCAACGGGAGAAAACCAGGGGTGAACATTTCCATGGGGCTGAATGGTGCCAGCATGGGGTGCTGTATCATCTTTACTAGGGCTATAATGATGTAGAACAGGAAATATTACTAGTAATTTAACAATATTTTAAGATAACACAATGCTATAAAAACACAAGGGGAATAGGGAGATTTTTGCTCCAATTCCCACTTACCCTGGCATTTATATTTTAAGGTGAGCCTTTTAGAGCACCAGGAGGGAGGCAGATTGCCTGGATCAGTATCCTACCTGTCAATAGGATCATTGTTCTTTTCTTGAAACTCTTCAATATTTTAATAGCTTATTAAATTAAAATGTAATGGTTGACGGATGATTATTATAATTTATTGGTTGTCCCAGTTCAATAGTATAACTGGGATATTTATCACAGTCTAAGGACACTGAAAATGTTCCCATTTTATAAATCACATTTTACTATTTGAAGGCACCACGTTATGAGGGAAGGAGAACCAGCCCAAGACAAAGAGGACTGGTGGTGCTGAGCTGCCCAGAGAGGTCAGCAGGAACAGCAACTCAGCTGCCACTTGCTGCTCCCCTGGGTTTCCTCCCAGCTGCCTTCCCACCTACAGCCACTGCTCACCTCTTCCCCTCTGATGTCAAATTCCTGCTTGGTGTTTCTCCCCAGCCAACCACTACCTCCAACTTTCTAGTTCTTAACTCCATTTCACTGCCCTTTCCCATGGGATGGCACTGCCAGGCACCTCTCTGAACAGCTCAGGAGGGCTTGGAAGTGCCTGGTCAGGAGATGATCTCCTCCCATAGCTGTGCCCTCCTGCCAGCTGCTCAGCAGGACAGAGTTTTTAATGAGACTACACAAGATTTTCCCCTTTTTGGACTTGAAAAAAATCCAGATTTCAAGGAGCTGTTAATGCTTTCCTTTTCTGATCCACAACTCTACCAGATGGGGCAGAAAACTAAAAGCCCAAAAAGCTGTAGGGGAGCAGAAAACACAGTTTTTTCCAGTTGCTGCTTTAAGGGTCAAGCATCATGTAAAACACTTTCCCTCTTGAGTAAGAAATACAACCTGCTGGTGAGGCTACAATTGACTTCCCAGTGTTCTTGGAGGAAGAGCTCACCTGCAGATGGCTGGAAAGCATTCCTGAAGCCCCTTCTTCTTAACCAAAGATCCTTCAAGGCAATACATGATGATGTCCATAACCTTGGAAACAAAAGTGAAAATCTTTTGACATACTGTATTTTATGTTCCATAGTAAAAATTCCAACAAGCAAACCCAGAGAATTTCTGTGCCTGGTTGCACCTTTGATACCTAAATTTCAAATATATTTTGGATGAAAGAAACAAGAACTGTCTTGCATATGATGAGTTTACAACAGCAATGGCACAGGTAAGCAGACCCACCCCAAGTACCTGTCAGCAGTTATAAAGCAGCAGGCTGCTGGTCAACATGAGCTGCTGGGGCTCTACATGTAGCTCTGGTGTAAAAAAGGCCTCTGGGCATCAGCATCAAAGTTAAAAATCTGTTCCTCCACACATCCTTCAACATTGGTCAACACAAATGGATGCAACAGAGAAAAACACCCATGGGACCCCCAGTACATTCAAGTACAGCCCCACAAGCAAATCATCTTTTTTTTCCCCCCAACAATGCAATTGAAATGCAATTTCAGCTTCTAAAGCAAACCAAAATGAGCTGGGTGGTACAACACAAATCCTCTTCACACACAGAAAGGTTTATGGTCCCTGCAGAAAGAAGCTCTAGGACTCTGCAGCAGCTGTGGCAGAGCAGCCTCACCTCCACCAGAAGGTCCACGACGTCGGTAGGCATCTTCTCAATCAGGATCTCAATGACCCTCAGGATCTCCCCCTTGGCCCGGGCCAGGGTGGTGGTGTGGATGTTCTGCTGGGACTGGGTGTTGGCGGCCAGGGCGGTGTGGCGGTGCACCTGCCAGACAGGGGGTCACACCAGGGACTCCCACCCCCCACAGCTCCTCCCCTGCTTGCTGTCACGCACACGTGTTACCCCACCCAGGCTGGTACCCAGCAGGAGGCTCTGCTTCCTCTGAGCCCCGTGGGTCATTCCTCCTGCCCCTGCTGCCCCCCAGCAGAGCCCCTGCCTTTGCTGCAGTTTTAAACAAGGGCTGACCCGCCTCAAGTACTTCTTCAGCTCATCAAACTGAAGGTCAAGATAAGGAAGTGCCTGGGTCTCGATTCCATCACTTCCACGTACTTGAAGGCCTTTCTTTAGGTATTAGCTACTGTGTACCAGGTTTGTTTTGGCTGTCACGGCCCATCGTCCTCTTGCTGGAGCTCTAGGCTGTCCCAGCCCCTGCCCAGCCCACACCACCCTCACTGCAACCTCCTTTCCTCCTCACCCCTCCAAACCCCTCAGCTGTTTCAATCCATCCTTCACGGGGTCACGTCTGCCCTGCCAGAAGCCAGCAGGAGTTTGCACTTCCCTAGTGGAAGGTTCTATTACTGGTGACAGCAAATGGACCAGCCACAACTCATCGGGCTCTGCCAAACGTCCCGGCACCAACCGGGGCTGACCCAGGAACCTGCAGGAACGCGACTGCGACCCAGTGTTTTGGGGAAGAAGGGAGGGCTGGTCCCTCTGTCTGTCCCCTGGGTGGGGCAGGGGGCAGCAGCCCAGCCCTGCTCACCTCCTTGGCGATGGTGGTGATGAAGGCGGGAGGTCTGGCGGTGGCGATGAGGGACAGGGCGTGCCGAGCCGAGCGCGCCGAGTCGGCCGCCGGGCTGAGGGGCAGCCCCATTGTGATGCTAAAGGGGCAGCAGACAAAGAGGGGAGAGAGAAAAGGAGCATTAGAAATATAGAGTGAAAAGATTAGAAACAGCTTATAATGTCAGTCCAAGGTCAACGGGAGCACTCAAACAGTTAGAAGATAATGGACTTCCAACAATGAACAGTGATTAGGAGTCAGGGTGTTCTATCATCAAATACAAAATCGAATAATTAACCATGAAGATTGAAAACAGTATGTGCATCTGTCCAAAGTGTTAAAAAGGCCTTGTTAACAAATTATCTGTATGTGCTGAATACATATCACCCGACCGTGGGCGAGGCAAGGGAAGAACGTCCTCCCAAGAATTTATGGTTTATTCTTTTACCACATTTTAAACCCAGAACAGCCTGTTCATGGTAATTCTCCCTAATTCAGCTAAGCACTGGTTATAGCAGAGTGAAACAAGAGGCTTCTTGAAGAGCTAAAACCACCAAATCTATCTGGTTTGATTTCCTTTAGTGCGTGACTCAGTGGCAGCAGCGCAGGGGGATGACAGAGCCCCACACCTCGTGCCTCCCAGCCACTGACATTATTGCCATGCTCTGCAGAATTGCTAACACTGAGGCTTCTACTGCAGATCTTTGAATAGCAGTAAAGAAATAACTGGCACCTGAATTTTCCATACATGATGCTTTGCTTGGCAAGACAAATGCAAAAAACAAGGTAATAACAAGTACCCAATAATCATATTAAGGAAAAGAAACTCTAATATTTGGGAACTGAGAAAATATGCACCCGACAAAGAAGAGACACAAGCTTCCTCCTCCCTGTGCTCTTCTACTGAACTTTTTGGTGAAGAGTACAGTAAGTTTCCAAACCCAAGTAGCTTATTGCAAAGTGTTTGTGCTTTTGTAGGGGGTTTAGGTACTGAACAGCTACTTTTCTCTTGAATTTAGAGAGACAGAGCTGTCTGTTGAGGTTTAAATGCTCTTTTATTTATTTTTTAAACTGTGCTTACAAACAACTCTCTATGTAATGCCTGATTTTGTGCTGTGGGAGCTTAGAAATTAAATGTTCTGCAAAACCAAAAAAAACCCCCAAAAGAAACATCAGGGTGTTTCAAGTAATCTCTGCCAATCTGTTTTTCCAGAGCAGGAAAGGTAGGGATGACAATTTACAGGCCTCAATTCACATTGATACAACCCAAAGTTTATCATTTCCTTTCCCACTCCTCACCATTGTTTCAGCTTTATAACCACTGAATTTGAAACCCAGTGAAGATGTCCCCCGTGGCCTTTGACTGGTGAACACGTATCTGGCTGCAAGCTGAGCACCCCTGGGGGGCTGGCAGGGATGGAGGTGCTGTGCCAGGAGGAGGGAGGAGCAGAGCCTGGCAGGCAGCAGGCTTTGCTGGCTCCCAGCAGCAATCCAGACCCCCCCCAGCAGCAACCCAGCCCCTCACTCTCCCTCCTTCTTGCTCTAAAAAGGCTTCATGTCTCTGCCAGCAGTGCTCTTCCTTGCAGGGTGCTGGGTGGAACGTGCACTTTCCTGCAAAGCAACAGGTTTTGCACCTCCTCGTTAGCAGGGCTCAGCAGTGGCAGCTTCTGGGCAGGATTAGCCCCCCCAGCCAGCCAGCTGCTCCCCACCCCAACAAAACCCAGGCAGATGCAGACCTAACGTTCAGAGGGGAAGGGTGGCCTTCACACCCAGCCTTCTGTCCTCCTGCTGATGGGTTTTGGGACTCCTGAAGGTGCAGCAAGAGGGGGCAGCGTGTGCTGTCCCTCTTGGCCCCATCCTGCCCTGCAAGCTGACATTGGAGGAGCTGTTTCTGCACAGAACACAGACAAAATGGATGCAGCCTGGGCTGTAACACATGCCTTCAACACCAGAGACTATATTCTACCTGCAAATGACAGTATAAACCCTTGGATTTATTACTGCATTTATTTGTGCTTTGGATCTGAGTCTTCTTTCCAGGAGGCTGGCTCTCAGTGCCTGGTATCTTGCAGCATCAGGGAATGATGCTCTCTCCTCTCCTAAACCCATCACCAACTTCCCCCATGCCAGCAACCTGAACATCTTGAGCTTTTGGGGAACCAATAAGCTATCTGAACAATGTTTTCAATGAAATGAAGACTATTTGAATAGATAACTTGTTTCTGTGTTTAGTGCAAGTTATCACGACTTCACAATAATGTTAATGTACTTCACCACCTACAGAGCACAATGCATTTAAAAAGCAAAAACAAGTGGAAAACAACAAGCTACCCGGGAAGAGCTGTAGGAAAAAGGTAGATGGAAAAGGTTTTGATGGCAACGACCAGAAAGTACAGCAATCACATCTCTGAATTTCCTGACTTGCATAAAACAATACCAGATGAAAACCACCTAACTAAGAATGCAAGCTTTTAGTATAAAAGGTAATGATTGTGATTAATATTTCTTTACTAACTGGACTGAAAGGAGGAAGCTCTGCAGCATGGACATTCTGCTGCTTTCCTCTCCTCTGGCTGGAGACTTGGCTTTGATGCTCCCAGGTTAGCAGGAGGGGAAATCCCACCTCATTTAACAGAAACCTCTGCATCAATCACCTCCAAACCACTGGTGGTTCCATGGGCAGCCTCGAAGAGATGGCTGAACAACTGGGAGTTGCCCAACTCCCTCTGCTCCAGCTCCTGCTCCTCCTTGGCCTGCAGGAGATGCTGGGGGTGCTGGTGGCCCTGCAGCCCTTCCCATGGTACAGCTGAGCTCCAGGCTCCCACAGCCCAAGGGCTACAGCAGAACACAGCCCCATGGGGTCCAGGTTTAAATCACTGCTGTAGCAGCAACTTGCTGTGTCACCTTCAGGACCAGGCACCAGCTCTCTCTTAAACCCCTCAACTTCAGCAACTGCTTGGACTATGTTCTAAAAACATTCCACTGAACTCAAAGCCTAGGGATGTCCATACTCTACATCCTATGGCTCCACAGATAGAATCCATAAAAACACAAAGGTAAAGCTTTCCAGTAAACACAATCAAAACTGAAGAGATTTCCCCAAGTCATTTCAGTACACAAACATCTATACAATTAGAAAGCAATTTGCTAATGTTGGTATATGATATCACAACCTGTATCAAGCTGCAGCTTGTAAGCCAAAGAGCAGAACTAACGGACAGCAAGGATCCCCACTGTCACCCATGCCAAAAAATCAAAGCCTAACAGCTGCTGGAAAAATCCTCCTGATCCTCACAAGGGAGAGGTTTCCTGAGGCACCGCAGGCGTAACCTTTGGGGGCTGGATGAGCTGGGAGAGCTGAGCGTGTTATAAACCCTAGAGCTCTGGAGAACAGTGCAGAACACTAATTCAGAAGGGAAAAAAAGAAAAATACAGCTATTTTATATTTTTTTTGGTCAATAAATATGAAGTGCTATATTTATTTTTTTGTAGGTGAAGCAGCAGCTTGACATGAGAGCCCTTGCACAAAGCGCCGGGCGCGGGCAGCTGCGCCGTCATTGTGCACACGGTAAATCAGGCACAAAAAGGGCAGCCAGCTGCTCCCCACCCCAACAAAACCCAGGCAGATGCAGACCTAACGTTCAGAGGGGAAGGGTGGCCTTCACACCCAGCCTTCTGTCCTCCTGCTGATGGGTTTTGGGACTCCTGAAGGTGCAGCAAGAGGGGGCAGCGTGTGCTGTCCCTCTTGGCCCCATCCTGCCCTGCAAGCTGACATTGGAGGAGCTGTTTCTGCACAGAACACAGACAAAATGGATGCAGCCTGGGCTGTAACACATGCCTTCAACACCAGAGACTATATTCTACCTGCAAATGACAGTATAAACCCTTGGATTTATTACTGCATTTATTTGTGCTTTGGATCTGAGTCTTCTTTCCAGGAGGCTGGCTCTCAGTGCCTGGTATCTTGCAGCATCAGGGAATGATGCTCTCTCCTCTCCTAAACCCATCACCAACTTCCCCCATGCCAGCAACCTGAACATCTTGAGCTTTTGGGGAACCAATAAGCTATCTGAACAATGTTTTCAATGAAATGAAGACTATTTGAATAGATAACTTGTTTCTGTGTTTAGTGCAAGTTATCACGACTTCACAATAATGTTAATGTACTTCACCACCTACAGAGCACAATGCATTTAAAAAGCAAAAACAAGTGGAAAACAACAAGCTACCCGGGAAGAGCTGTAGGAAAAAGGTAGATGGAAAAGGTTTTGATGGCAACAACCAGAAAGTACAGCAATCACATCTCTGAATTTCCTGACTTGCATAAAACAATACCAGATGAAAACCACCTAACTAAGAATGCAAGCTTTTAGTATAAAAGGTAATGATTGTGATTAATATTTCTTTACTAACTGGACTGAAAGGAGGAAGCTCTGCAGCATGGACATTCTGCTGCTTTCCTCTCCTCTGGCTGGAGACTTGGCTTTGATGCTCCCAGGTTAGCAGGAGGGGAAATCCCACCTCATTTAACAGAAACCTCTGCATCAATCACCTCCAAACCACTGGTGGTTCCATGGGCAGCCTCGAAGAGATGGCTGAACAACTGGGAGTTGCCCAACTCCCTCTGCTCCAGCTCCTGCTCCTCCTTGGCCTGCAGGAGATGCTGGGGGTGCTGGTGGCCCTGCAGCCCTTCCCATGGTACAGCTGAGCTCCAGGCTCCCACAGCCCAAGGGCTACAGCAGAACACAGCCCCATGGGGTCCAGGTTTAAATCACTGCTGTAGCAGCAACTTGCTGTGTCACCTTCAGGACCAGGCACCAGCTCTCTCTTAAACCCCTCAACTTCAGCAACTGCTTGGACTATGTTCTAAAAACATTCCACTGAACTCAAAGCCTAGGGATGTCCATACTCTACATCCTATGGCTCCACAGATAGAATCCATAAAAACACAAAGGTAAAGCTTTCCAGTAAACACAATCAAAACTGAAGAGATTTCCCCAAGTCATTTCAGTACACAAACATCTATACAATTAGAAAGCAATTTGCTAATGTTGGTATATGATATCACAACCTGTATCAAGCTGCAGCTTGTAAGCCAAAGAGCAGAACTAACGGACAGCAAGGATCCCCACTGTCACCCATGCCAAAAAATCAAAGCCTAACAGCTGCTGGAAAAATCCTCCTGATCCTCACAAGGGAGAGGTTTCCTGAGGCACCGCAGGCGTAACCTTTGGGGGCTGGATGAGCTGGGAGAGCTGAGCGTGTTATAAACCCTAGAGCTCTGGAGAACAGTGCAGAACACTAATTCAGAAGGGAAAAAAAAGAAAAATACAGCTATTTTATATTTTTTTTGGTCAATAAATATGAAGTGCTATATTTATTTTTTTGTAGGTGAAGCAGCAGCTTGACATGAGAGCCCTTGCACAAAGCGCCGGGCGCGGGCAGCTGCGCCGTCATTGTGCACACGGTAAATCAGGCACAAAAAGGGGCAGCACAGCAGGGCACTGGCAGGGTGAGATGCACACTTAACCCCCTGCACACGTTGCTGCTCTGTTTCTTTCCATCTTGGTCTGTCTGCAGTCAGTGCTGTATCTGTCATGAACGTAACAGGCCATTTTCAATCTAAATCTTGTTATGGATTAATAAGCAAACACTTTCTCGCTTATTATGCAATTTATCATGATGAAAATTGCATCGGGCTCCTCAAGGCTACATGCTGATACATTCATTTATTCAGTGCTCTGTGGATAGAGAGCCATACTAATCTTTATGACAGCTAAGGATGTAATGGCAAGATGAAAATGACTTTGTGCAGCGCGGCGCTCACCGGGCTCTGCAAGTCTCCATCCACACACAGCAGGACTGGGGAGACGCTCTGGGAAGGGAAAACATCCTGGCTGCTGTTGACACACTTCAAGGAATAACTGAAGTCCAGTCCCATTTCTACCTATTTCTCCATTAAGATCCCTCTTTCCCAAGCAATCATCCCATTCCTTAAGTCCTGAGGAAATCCTAACGGCTCTGCAATATCTGCCTGTGTAGAGTGTGTCAGTCAGAGCCCTTAACTCCTGCAGACGGGTGATAAAATGCATACGAGGTCTGAAGACAGCCCTGGTCAGTGCCCTGCTGCATGGAGCATTTGAAATGTGTGTGTTTATAAACAAACATTTGCAAACACATATGTGAAGGAAAACTCAGCCATAACAGAGCAGTTTTCAGAACTGTGGGATTTGAAACTGGGTCCTCAGGTTCAGTGACACGGGTGTGTAAAAGTGCTCGTGGCATTCAGTGTTACTGCTGGGAGTCCTTGACAAAAAGAGCTAACTAAAAACAGAAAGTAAGCAAAAATTGAAATACATAGCTTAAACACTTGGCAATAATGCTTATAATTTAGATATTTGTGATCATAAGGGCATTCTACAGTCTCCTCTGGTGCGACATAACCAAGCAGTGCTCACCGTGGTGTAGCAAGCACCAGCCTTAGAATAAAATAGAAAACTGGCTATTTGTCAAATGATTATTACCTTCTTTTTTAGTATCTAAAGTACCATTAGTAGGGCTGTAAGGAACACCACCTGTAAGCCCAGCAACCCCTCCTCTCCCTGTGCACGGCATTCCCTGGCTGCCCAGAGCTGGTTTCCTCCCCTTTAGGGCACAACTCTGCTCCCCATCAGCTCAGGACACTCCCCAAAACCCTGGCAGACAGCAGCAGTGCCAGCCAGCAAAACACTACCTGGTGGAAAGCCAACCTCTGCATCTGGTGACAAGAAATACAGTAACATTCATTCCTCAGCAATCAATGATGATGACTGCAGCAATTTCAAGCACGAGATATTTCTTTTTTCCTCCCAAAAAGCCTCGCCAAGGGGGCAGCCCAGAGCACTCAGCCCCTCTGCCTTCAGGAATCAAACTGCTCCCCAGCCCCCAGCAGTCCCTCAGGTACCGAGTGGTTTACAAATTCACACTTAAGAAACACTACTAATTGAAACACTATGTGGAAAGCATCACATCAATTAAAAACTGGGCGTGAAACATGTTGTAGGAACTCAGGGAATACCCTCAGGGTGCTCGGGATGCCAGGTGTTCCAAGTGCTAGAGCAGGAGCTACATGCTTGCTAAGTCCCAGCTGGGGACTAATTTGCTGCTGTGCAAGAGTCGTGTACCCAGGAATGGAAATGTGGCCTCAGTATCTGGTACTCAGCACTACTGGGTATCCACTGATACTTTTCAAGGCTTCCCACAAAAAGCAGGAAGCTTCCAATAGCTTTCAAAGCCAGTCACACAAAGCACAGCATCACTGCTTCATTTCATATCCACAACCTACTCTGGCTGCTTCCTGCAGGGACTTTTTGGATTTTATTTATTGATAGGCAGAAATCAGAGCTTCTCCTTTTGCACATTTAAGCAGTTGGCTTTTAAAAATAAAAACTAAAGGCAGAAAAAACCCTGTTCAGATGGAATTTCAGATGAGAGGATCAGCTTTACAACAAGCAATAATAAAAATACTGCAAAACCCTTTCCTGTGCAAATAGTCCTGTTGTCAGGAAGCAGGTTCATGTGTCAGTAAAGACTGGCCACGTGAGCATTGTGGCCTCAGTGGACATTTGTGATATTCAGGCCTCAGATGATAAAATACATGGATCCTCAACAAAAGTGCTGCTCTCGTCCTGCAAAGCTGCACACATCAAACCCCCTCAAATATTACTATTTAAGATCCCCATTATCTAACAGAAAATGCCTTGAGAAAAAAGATGGTACCTTTATTACAGAAGTCATCCTAGTGACTTTACTTCTGCATTTAGTAGTAATGATTTGATTTAGCCATAATTACTTGATGGCACCACTGACAGAGCATGGCACTACTGAGTGCAACAACTTGTATGTATCTGTGTGTAGACATAACCAGAAGTTGTACAGTTATAGTCCTGTTTAAGAAACAGAACAAATAAGCCCTTAGAGTTCCATGTACAAAAAAAAAAAAGCACAGAAAAAACCCCAACTATTACATTTTTTCTGTGTATTTTATGTCAAAGTGTCAGGCTTCCTTATGAAATTTACCCCCCTCCCCAACCCCAATTACAAATACCTAATTGAAAGAAGATTTTATTTCAAAGAGTTTAGAAGGCAGGTGCACGCCAGCAAACCATATAAATCTTGATTTAGGACACTTTAATAAGTTGTCCTCTGACCCCAGAGACAGGCTGTGGTCTATTGAGTTTATGATTTCTTAGCAACCCTTAAATCTACAAGTTACCTCGGTGCTATTACTAGTGATGCTGTTGATAAAATAACCACCTTCTCCAAATTGTACTTTCCAAACCAATTCACATCCTGATGGGATGGGTTGGGAAAACCAGGAGGAAAAAACCAAACTGTGTATGTTTACACATCAATAGGCAACCCCTTCGGAAAATACTATTTTTTACAGCTACGAAAGGGTAAAAAAAATAACTGTGGCAAAGACAGATATTTTGGATAGGAAATGTTACACTTGCTTCTTTTCTCAAAATTCCTGGCAATACGACAGGGAGATCAGTGCTGTGCAGGCCTGGCAGTGCCTGCCAAGCCTGTGGTGTCTCCCAGCTCCAATGGGGTGCCTGCCCAAGCCACCAGAAGCCAGTGCCCCCACGTCCAAGTGACCCCTTCCTTCCCGAGACCACCTTGTGGAGCTGCCTGGAGTGCCAGCCAAGCTGGGCTGAACAGGCTTGACACGGTCGGGCAGCTGGTGCTAGTTCAAAGCCCTGAGACAAGACATCAGTCCCTGTCACAACCTCCTGCCAAGTGCCACAGCCATCAGGACTGGAACCAGCTGCTGCCAAACCTCCACCCACAGGTTGGAACCTTCCCAGCTTGCCCAAGGAAGTTGTGGCTGCTCCATCCCTGGAAGTGTTCAAGGCCAGGTTGGGATGGGGCAAAGACCCAACCAGTGGAATGCTTAGCAAATTCATTCCAGTTTTCAGGCTAAGTTGATTTGTTGTCATGGGGCTTGGAGCAACCTGGTCCAGTGGGAGGTGTCTCTGGGGTGGAACAGGATGAGCTTTAAGGTCATAAAATCATAGAATCATTAAGTTTAGAAGGGACCTCAAAGATCACCAAGCTCCAACCCCCCTGCCATGAGCAGGGAACCACTAGACCAGGCTGCACAAAACCTGATCCAACCTGGCCTTAAAGATGTCCAGTGATGGGGCATCGACAACCTCCCTGGGCAACCCATCCCAGCTCCTCACCAAGGGGAGGGTGAGGACGGTCCCTTCCCCAAGGTGTCCCCAGCCCGAGCCGCTCGGGGATGTGACGGCCCTGGGACAGGCCAGGGAGGGTCTGTGAGGGAGGGAAGGAGGCACCTACTTGGCCAGCTGCTTCTCGGCGTCGGCGCAGAGCTCCAGGAGGCCCATCAGCACGGCCGACACGTCCATGTAGGGCTCCCAGACGGTGAAGCCGCGGCCGATGAGGTCGATGGCGGTTCTGCGGACGGTGCTGTGCGCGGGCAGGCGCGGGCTGGGCGGCTGCAGCAGCAGGAACGTCAGCGCCTTGCCTGTGGGCACAGGGGGGTCAGGGCAACTGCCTGGGCTGCCTCCTGCCCGCCCCAGCCCCGCTGCTGAGCGGCACGGCTGCTCCTAGAGGCTGCTCTCCCACCTCAGGTCGCAGGGGAGAGCCTGACATGGTCCTGTGGAGGGGAGCTGCTGGGTTCACCGTGCCCAAGACTCCCTCTGCTACAGCTTTCCTATGGGACCTGGGATGGCAATTCCACCACAGTCCTCAAACAAGGACACTGAGGGCACTCCCAGAGGCAGGGGATGCAGAGAGGGAGTGTCCCTCTGGAGATACTCCCCATACAGCTGTAGGCTTAGGCAGGTGGTACCCAGCTCCCCACCAGCCCAAGGAGCAGCAGGAGGCAGGGAGGCTGCTCCAGCACCCCCAGCACTGGAGGGCTGGGCAGCCTCCTCCCCACCCCCCAGCACTGCTGCAGCCCCCCAGCCTCTGCCTGCTGGGATTTCAGAGCATCCTCCCTGGCACTGCTGCTGCTGGAGCACACCAAGCACAGGGACCTGACACAGATGGGCCCATGCCTGAAAGTCATGCAGAGAACTCAGAACCAATCAACATGGAAAAAATAATTAAAATCATTCCCCCTTCAGATGACACTTGCTAAGAAAACCCTGACAATCTGATGTAATATTAACACAGGTAATAAGCTTTCAGACAAAAAAGGCACATCATTTTGAAAGGATGTATAAGAAAAAGCAAGCTTAAAATATTAAACTTGGGAAAACATCAGTTCAAAGAAACGAGCTTGAGATTACTAATTTTTTAATCAGTACCTTGGCCACAGCCAGCAGCAGTTGGTGCTGGATGTGCTTAACTGAGTGAGACACAGCCAAAATCAGCCACCAAAGCCAGGACAGCTCCCCACCCAACAACTGCTCCTCTCCACACCTGCCACGTCCCTGCCCGTGGTGGGAGCAGGGGGCACAAGCCTTGGTTAAACCCCTGTGCTGCAGCACGTTGGCCTCACCTCAGCAGCAGGCAGGGGTGAGGCTGCAGAGCACTGAGCTGGCTGGGACACGGGCTGCAAGAACCAGGAAGGCTCCATGTGATGCTGAGCCCCTGCTGACAGGGCACCTCAGCTGTGGGACCACAGAATCCTTCTGGTTGGAAAAGACCTTTAAGATCATCAAGTTCAACCGTAATCTAACTCTATCAAACATCAACCCAACTATACCAAGTCCAGTGCTTAAACTATATCCCTCAGCACCACATCTACACATCTCTTAAACACCTCCAGGGATGGAGACTCAACCACCTCCCTGGGCAGCCTGTCCCAGGGTTTAATGACCCTTTCAGCAAAGTTTCTTCTAATAATTCACCTTCTTGTCCTGTTGGTGCCTGGTATGTGTGGAAGGGAAAGGGCAACAAGCAAGCCTGTCACCTGCAGCACACAGAAAAGCCATCAACAGGCAGGATTTTCCAGTCCATTCACACTAACCCTTTGCACACGTGTAACACAAGAACTGGAAGTTTCTTCTCAAAGCACAAAGCTGGCCATGAAGCTCTAGCTTGCATGACTTTTATGTCCCAAATACAAGAACCTTACTAAAAAATCGTGACTACTTGACCATTTTCACAATGAAAGATGCCCTGCTTTTTTCCATAGGAATTCTCCCAGCATTGCTCCTGCTGACACTTACCTTGTGTATATTGAGCCAAGGAAAAAGATGAACTAAACAAAAGTCATTCTGCTGCCCGTTTCTCAGCCTGGACATCTTTGTTTAAGCTTTGACTTGGCTTAAATGAACGAATTAATATTGACAAAAACATCAACTAAGCTAATGAGTTGTTAGTTAAGGCAATAAACATGTCACATTAGAGTCAGCGCAGTAAAGAGGTAATTAGCCCTGCAAAAGTTCTGCTGATCAGGGCTTTGCACTTAACCTGGGAGCCCACCAGGCAGGGCATGAGCAGGAGGAGAAGCAGCTGGTGGCACCCTGAGAGCAGCATTCCCTGGCTCCTCACACCCAGCTACCAGCACTCCATGGATCCCCACATGGAGCTTGCAGCATGTGGGCACACGAGCAGCTACTGAAAGGGGTTTTAGTTGAGGGCCAACATACCAACATGACAGAAAAGATCCTACCAAACCTAAATGCAGCTCCTCCTGGACCCAAGCACTGAAGTGCTGTCTCCACTTGGGAGAGAGACAGCCAGGCTGCCAGGTCTCTGGAACTATATCTGTGTGTCCTGATGGGAGATGCCCCACGATGCACACAGACACCCCCAAAAGCTGCTCCCAACCTGCCTCCTTCTCCAGCTCTCTCCTTGAACACTGGTTTGAGTCTGTGATCATTTTGCCCTTTTTATCCATGAAAATGTCAGCTGAGTGCCAAAGCTTATCTGTCCTTCTCGATGCACAGGCCCCTTGGATGCCTACCATGTCTCTCCTTGCTCCACCTCAAGAGCTTCAACCACATCCCATCCATCAGCTTTGCTACCTCCTCTTCTGCCCACTGATTTTAAAAAATTAAATAATTTGCTCAGGAAAATCAATAGCACAGGCATGAACTAGACACTGATAACTCTGATTCTCATTCTCATCATTTGCTACCAGATCAAGTTCCAACTAAATCAAAATGATGGACTCCTAGAACATGATTGAACCTGCTTTGCATCTTGTTCTGATCTGATGTAAAAAAGCAAACAAGAAGAAGAATCCCAGCTGTAATATTTTCAGCCTGCCCCCTCTCCCTGTCTCTGTGGGCAGTGTTTTTCTGCAAGAAATTAAGCCAAATTGCCACCCTTTCCAGGTGATTTTTTTTTTTCTGACTTGACAAATACCTGTGTGAAATGCCACGAGAAAGACAGAAATATAAATTTGCATAGCTGGGCTAAAAATCCATAGCCCTTAAATCCCCCTTCCTACCTCTAGTGCAGAGAATTTTTATCACGTATCTCCTCTCATCTGTCAGACAGTTATAAACCACAGGATATTTTTAGACCTAAATTAAAAAATAACTGGTATTATTTGAAAATAATTTTCCTAATGAATTAATGATGAAAATATTTGATTTTTTCCCAATATCACTCAATGTCAACTTTCCTAGCTTTCATTAATTTCTGGCATTTATTTGTTGGCTCTTAATATCATTCTGACACTTTTATTTCAACTGAGCTGACACTGGGAGAGTCTTCCTTTTTGCTGATAATACCTGCAAGCCATTTAAATATTGTTTTAAACCAAGTTGGAATTAGCAATACTGTACATTTAAAATGACATTCACGACTTGCTCTAGGTCCTTTTTCTCATTTAACACTGAAAAGGTAAATGTCTGTAAAGGCACAAACAAGAGAGGATGGGCAGTTGGAGCCAGGTTAGAGGTGGTTTTGCAGCACACACCAGTGGAACACACTGCTATGAAGCCAATTTTGGCCTCAAATGTCTGACAGCCTCCCAGGGATTGGGAAATGGGGATGTTTCTGCAGCACATCTGCAACTTGATTTGCTGTGTTGCACAGTTCTCATTTTTTAACAATACATGACCAAAATTAGCTTGCTTTGCCTCATACCTGAGCAGAAAGGAGGACGTGCCCTTGACACTCTTAAACCTTTACAACTCCATAAATGTTATTTAATCTGAAAGGGAACATTTCCTCCACGTTAATTACCCATGTAAATTCTGGAAATTTAACAGAGGTTTAACAGGCCAGAAGAACCAACCCCAGATGCAGTAAATCCCCAGCATTTCTATGAAACAGTGCAACATAAATTGCTTTCTACATGAAGTGAACAGACAGCCAAGAACATTCCTAAGGGGGCCAAACCATCACTGCCTTGTTCTAAAACTCTCTGAGATTTTGCATAATTTGTTAGAAAGGGAGACAAAGGAGAAAAAAAGAAGAAAATGTTTATAGCAGCTGGTTTCCCAGGCTTTTCAGTTTAACTCTGGCCTGGTTAAACCACCCTAACAATGCCATTTTTCTTCCTCTCAAAATCTGCAGTGGGGGAATCAGATGTGAAAGCCAGATCAATTCTGCTCCAAGACAGTAAATGAGTTTTGGATCAGACTTATTTCAATTTATGGAGAGAACCCAACTATGCTGGCTTCAATGCATGCTTCCTCTAACTATGAAATTTTATTACAGTGCTATAGAAAGAGTAAACTATCATTATTTTAATCCAAAATTTGTTTATAATCAAGCAGGAAGGAGAAAGCCAATATGACTCAGGTCATAACTGTGCATTAAACTTAGTATTTTCATTCCTATTAATTGCATAATTCCATTAAACCCTGCTATCTGTTTTAATCTAAATTATATAATGTTTTCTAAATAAAGCCATCTCATAAAAATGATCATCATTTTATAGGAAGCAGCTGTTTTTTCCATCACAGGGCTGACCAAACTCCATGTTGATCTTCAAAGTTTTCTCCTGTTAAACATAATTGTCATGAATTTTCTTGAGCAGACTGAACAACTCGTGACCCCTGTAATAGTGAAAGATGCACCACAGCAATGAAATAACTCAACACAACAACTTGTAGGAGTCAGGGATCACCACTTGACCTTCTCAAAGCCCCCAATGCTTAAGGGGCAGCTGCAAAGAGGATGGAGTGACTCTCTTCAGAGGGAGCCACATGGAGAAGACGAGGGGCAACAGCTACGAGGTGCACTGTGAGAGGTTTCATATTGACAGAAGAAAGAGGTTTTTTCACAATGTGAACAATCATTCCCTGGAAGAACCTCTCCAGGGACACAGCAGAGTCCCCATCACTGGAGGTTTTCACAATATAATTGGACATGTTGCTAGATAGTCTCATCTCCTCTCCCTTTCCCACAAAAGGCTGCACCAGACCATCTCTCAAGGTCCCTTCCAACCTGGGCTGTTCTGTGATTCTCTAACCCCTCCTGCTGCTCTCCACTTCCCAACTGGCCATGGACCATCATCTCAGAGACCCCCCCACGTGATAGTCAAGTCCTACATGTTTGCATTGATTATGTGCTCCTGTGCTTTGACATTTCACACAGGCTACTGCAAAAGCT